TGATGCAAAAGTGGTGAAAACCAAGGAAAGCAGTTCAGACAACCGTGATAGCGAGACACTTGAGATCCGTCACTCAGGGAAGGAATCTCGCGAGTATGCGTTACTTCCGCCAGCATCATACAGATTAACTTTACTTCTGAATGGAAACAAGGGTAGCTTGGCTACTGAGCAGTTAGAGGAGGATACCGCTATTCAGGAAATTAAAGAGCATGTTGAGAGCGAGTCCTTGGCTGGTCTGGAGGTAGAGACCGTTTCAAAAGACAGTACTTGCGAGGATGAGGTGGGTGCCAGCAGTCCTATTGGGCTCAGTAAGGAGCTGGAAACCATCTTTATGCCTCGAAAGGACGCTTCAACTTCGTCAAGTGTAGGCATGGTTAGCGCAGTGGCTGGTGAGAGCAAGAACGCCATGCTTCAGCAGTGCAGTGATACCATCAAGGTAATTTGCAAACATCGCAGAAAAGGGAAAAAGAAGCGGAAGCGTTCATCACTGCGTAAGACTAGGACAGGTCCCACTCAGTCGCAAGAAAGACGAGAGGGTAGGCCGTTAATCCGTTTCAAGAAACGTCAACGGTGGCGTTTATGGAGGCACAAGCAGCGAGTCAGGTGTAGAGGGGGGAAACAAGGTGCGTTACCGCTACGAAACGCGCGGTTGAGTTCGGCGACTCCGGGAAAGCGGCCTTGCTCGAAGGGTCATAGTCTAAAGGGCAGAGTGGCTAAATACCGCGTAGGGGTGGACACAAAGAGAAAATGCCACAGGCTTCCCCCCTGCTTCTGGCGTCCCTAACTTTCGCACAGGCGGGTTAAATATTGTACTCAGTGGTGCATTGGAGATGCATATTTGTCTGTTTAAATTTGTAAGATTTGGGGGCACGTTAAAGAACCCCAGGTGGTCAAAATTTCCGGAGCCCTCCACTACGGCGTCTCTCATAATCATATAGTGGTTTTGGGACGTTCAACCCCAAAAATCAATCAATGTTTAAATTTGTAGGTTACGAGATGTAGTGTAAAGTTTTCAAAGGGAAAACCACCGAACTAAAGGCTGAAAATCGAAGCTAGTTTAATGATGAGTGCGAAAATTTGCAGAAGGTAAAAACCGAGAAAATGTCTTATTTTTCTAGTTTTTTTTCAAAGGTCTAGTGTCATATCGAATGCCTTGACTGCCATTTTAAGGTGGAGTGAATGAGCGTTTCAAGGCAATTTTAGCGCTCACTGAATCGGAGTTCCGGACTGATGCTCTCAGCAGGGAAAGAACCGATGACAGTGGTCAGCGATGAAAAGGAAATTGAGGGCTTGGTGCCGTATCACGTCAAGACGATAGTTGTAACGAAGAAAGATGTGCTCTACTTGAGCCAGAAATTGGGTTCTCGAGAGATAACCTACTACGCTTCAGGAAAAGAGTGCGCTTGCATTGTGTAGATCATTCATTAGTTGCAGTGTTATCTAAGAGGTGCTAAATTTAAAGTAGGAACAGACCGTTTTCCCCTTACTTGGCTGCAAACCGTGACTTCAAAGAACAGTCGCCTTGTGAGGCGGAGCTTGATTCTTCAAAAATATCACTTTGACATTAAGAAAAAAAGGGCAAATTGAATGGAAACGCTGACACACTCAGCCGCTCTTTCTAAGCCATTCTGGGGTGCTCTTGATGTATCAAAATTGATATTTTTGTTTTTTCGTGCATCTTATTATCAGTATTGTGTAAGGTAGCACGTCTGGTTTCTCAGCGCAAATGAGTCCTGAGAGTTATGAGTGTGAGCTTTTGTTAAAGCTAGTATTTAAAATTTGTTTACTATCCCTCTTTTGGCTTGGTTTGTTCGAAGGGGGCCGAGTGCTTGCTTGTGCACGTGGTCGAGATTCAGACACGGTGTCGAAGATTTCGGCAATTACCCAGACGTTGCGACAAGCAAAGGCGAGTTCCTGGCATTCCACTACGGACCCTTTCATCGTCCCTGCGAGCAGCAGCGGTGATTGCTGCCATCCGTGACTCATCTGGCGAGGGGAAGCTCTTATGACCGTCGTCAGTAGGCGCCATGCTGTCGCTGAGAAGCGTAGCCGGGCAGCGCTCCCACGCCTGGAACCCCAGTTCTCTCGGAACCAGCGTCCAGAGCTGACGGGGGAGCGGCACTCTTTTAATCCTCAAACAAGTAGCCGACTGGCCGGCTGCCTATGCCCTCCAGGTATTGTCCCTGCTAGCCGGAGGATGAGATGTCGTGTCGCCACGACACCGTAAGCCGTTCCAGAGAGGACAACAAAGACAGCATCTTCCTTGGAAGAAACCGCGGTCGCCGCGACAAATTGCCCTGCTAATTGAGCGGACAGATCGGCGGACCGTTTGATGTATGCTGTCAGGAGCTTGGGACCCCTCGACCAGCGGCCCACACACGACGAGGAAGAGCCCCTCTGGCGCCACCTTGTAGTGCAGTGATCACGACTCAATATTGGGTGTTCACGTGGGCCGTGCATGCTCGTACCCCTCGCCTGCTGTGTGTGTGTGTGATTGGTGTTCCACTCAAGAAGGAGGAGCCCGACCGGTCTTATAATGACGCCGCAGAGTGCGGGACGTCACTCTGAACCATGTAATGGTTCAACCACCACGCTCGCGGTTTGTCAATCCTAACCTCATGCTGTAAATAAGTGTAAATAGTGCCATAAACCTGTTTGTTTTTCGTATCCCCATCTTGTCAGCGTTCGTTTCCTCCACCCGAAGCTACACCACGCTACCATAAAAGACCGGGCAGACCCCGGTCCACAACAACTGGGTGATCAGCGCTGGGATTCGATGCGGCTACGCGTCGAACCGCGCCGAGAGCCACGACAATAGCATCAACCACCATTGCTTTGGAGCCACCTTGCCAATCTTTCAGAAGGCGTTACGAAATATCACAAAGGGTTACAAAAATATTAGGATAAAGTGCAAAGTAGGTGTGCCGTTTCGCCTATTCAGCCTATCAGAGAATGGATTACTCACGCGTCGTACGGAGTTGATTGACTGATGTGATGAACGGCAGGACGCTGTATGAGTCGTCTGAATTCAAAAACAAGCTAAGTTGCTGAGCATCGATGACTTTTCTGCGCGTGATGTTCAACCAGGCTATTTGTTTACGGATGGTAAAGAGAATTGATGGGCTCTTAACACCCAGAATCTGTTCGTGGGCTGAACTGGTGATTCTTGGAAAGTAACATTGTTAGCATAATTTCACTGCGGGAGAGTATGACTTAGAGCAGAAAAATGGATACGTAGCAGGTGGTAACAAGCGGCAACCACTGGCTCCGAATACCAAGTCGTATAAGGCTGTGCAAACGGCGATTTATGTAATATCATGATACAAAGATACAAAGTAGAGCAGCACAGTCGTCTTTCTTGCAAGAAGACCATTTTTCAGGTGACTATCTGAAAAGGCTGGACTAATTCTAGAGAAGTACTATCGCTATTGGAGTCATGCTAGAGCAGCAAACGTGTTCGAAATTATCCGCAGCCGTCTTCTACAAAGTCTCCCATAAAAATAAAAGATGCTTTCCGTTCTTTATTTCTATAAATTAAAATAATACCGAGGGTGTCTTTAAACTACAATCCATTAACAAGGTTTCAGGCACTAAGAAGAGGAACCGCTTGCACAGTTTGCGGAAAACTGCAGAAAGGTGCATTAAGCCAAGTGCGCTTTCCTGAAACTCTGGCACGGCGCACTCAATCGCTACAGGCATGCTGATAGTCAGGCGAGCTTCACCTTAAGGACTGCACGGCGCACCAGCGTGTCACAGCAGCCTACGCTATGCCCCTGCCTGCACTGATTAGCCTCGATGCGCGGCCGTGCCGTATGCGCTGGCACCCCGTGGAGTGCGGCCACGCTTAGCCGTGTTCGTACTAAAGGTGGACGGCACTGTACAAGCCACCACGATCAAGAAAAATAGTTGCGGGCGCAAGGGCGACTACGTCCTGTCGAGGCGCAGGCGTATCGCAACGTGTGGAGCAACCAGTTTCAAAACGTGCCTTGCGAACGTTCGCGCCATTTCGCCAGTGATAACAAGAACGCGCCAAAGTCACCGACCTCGTAGTGCCAGAGGTGAATATTGCATATGAATTGCTCACCGTTATAGAACTGGACAGCGGACACTTTATGGACAAATCGGATCACACTGAAGAGCGATTGATTGATTGATTGATTGATTGATTGATTGATTGATATGTGGGGTTTAACGTCCCAAAACCACTATATGATTATGAGAGACGCCGTAGTGGAGGGCTCCGGAAATTTAGACCACCTGGGGTTCTTTAACGTGCACCCAAATCTGAGCACACGGGCCTACAACATTTCCGCCTCCATCGGAAATGCAGCCGCTGCAGCCGGGATTCGAACCCGCGCCCTGCGGGTCAGCAGCCGAGTACCTTAGCCACTAGACCACCGCGGTGGGGCACACTGAAGAGCGAGAAGTGGTAGTTTGAACAACTGGCTATGGAATTTCTTTGTAGCTTCTTTATTCGCACTATGCTAATATATATATTACAACGTCATATCCATGACAGACAAGCGTCAGTGGAGCTGTGATTTGCCTAGGCACAAATACCATGGTGTTTAAAAAGCATTGCGAGAAATATTTTTTTTAAGAACGGAAAATGGGCGTCTGCAACAGCGACCTTAGTTACCGAAACGAAGAAAACACCCTCGAATAATACGAATTTCAAAGCTTAGTTCTTCAAATATGTTTTCATGCTTCCCAAGAAGAAAGAAAATAAATTTATTCACAGTACTTCGTATGAAAAAAAGAAATAATAGCAAACACTGGAACAGCTTAATCTCGCAGCTGTGTGAGCTGCTTGCCGCCATTTTGTACACGAACGGCTAAAGTAAAGTTCTGCTCTTACACTAGGACGTCTGCGTAAACAGACACCCAAAGTTATGAAAGTACGAGTTTTCAAAGACATTGAACAGTTTTATACAGCATAACTTCATTTAAAAATCACGCATGAAGTGATAAGCATTAGAAAATGGCTCTTGCCCCAAAAGCTAGGCAGCCATCAAGTATGAGAAACGGCCCGCGTTTTCTCTGACGTAGGCGGGAGCTGCCTGGTGAGCATCACACTTTTCTAGAGATTCACTGTCGTCGAAATATCGGCCACTTTTTCGGAGACTACTTATGTATGTGGGGTCTCTTTTCTGAGCGATGTCGCCCCACCGTATTCCGTCGTCCCTCTGGGCGGCAGTCAGCTTCACCTGCGAAGAGTAAAAAAATTCAGAACATCTGTTATCTTTCGTATTCACAGCATCACACAATATGTCAAAGAAAGTTGGCTTTGTCTACGTTAGAGAAAAAGGTTCAAGCATGTACATCCTTGCCATAAGGAAATGAATTCTAGCTTTCAAGAAGACAAGTGTACTTGTCGAATCGCCGGCTTGAGCACACACTCCCTGTTTACGGATTTTTTTTCATCGCAAACTTACATCTCCCTTTCCTATTGAATTGGAATGAAACAACTTTATTTCAGTCCTGCAGGACGCGCTTAGCGCGTAGTGGGCGTCTCCCACGTAGGGACCGACAGGGAGTACCTGGCGGCTGCTTCGTGGGCCTGCTTCCCCCTTCCAATCGTTTTTTTTTTGTGTGTGATGTACGTGGTTACCTTGTCTCGTGAGAAGATGCAAGTAGAACACACTGGCAGGTGCTTAAATTCTCGTCAAAGACAGCACCATCACAACTTATACAACACGGTTCAAGGCTACATGGACATCCTTTGCCGTGATTGTGGTTGTGCGACCCTTTTTTTTTTTTGTAAAAAGGGCTGCGCCGGCTGCATTTTCCATGGAGACAAAAATTCTGTAGGCCCGTGTGCTCAGATTTGGCCACATGAAAAAGAACCCCTGGTGGTCTGAAATTTCGGAGCCTTCCACTACGGTCGCTTACATCACCATATGGTGGTTTCGCGACGTTAAACCCCAAATATCAATCAATCAATCAATCAATCATTTTTTCCTAAAAAGCAAGTGCTGTACGTGCACTATTCACAGTTTACACGTTAAATAGTTGATGAAGACTTCATGACAAAGGCCGATAACACGTGCACTTTTAATCACTCAATAAAGCTTTATTCTCGCGAGATATGCGATTTGAACAGGCCACGAATGACACACCATTATGTGCAGCACTGTCATTCAAATTTTTTTCACTTTTTCTTGATGATGATGCATGTCAGTAGAATAGGTATTTAGTTTTTTCTTCCCATGCTATGAATAACGTGTTCTAAGACAGCGCCATGTGTGCGCCCCCTTTTTTGTCTTTGTCTTCTTTCGCGCTATGTTCCCGTAATGACAAAGCAACTCCCCTTCCTCGTTTTATCATCTCTCATTTGTGTTCTGCACACACTGATGTCATCTATGTCATTTTCCCCGTGTACTAAGCAAAGGAGTTGAACACGAGATGGCCAGGTGTGCGTGGCTAGAGAGAGGGACAGGCGTATAGATATATAGACAGATAGCTCGATAGATATATAAGCTTTCTTTTACAGCAACGATTGTTATGAGATCGCAACGAGGTTCCCTTTCACCGCAGTTGAACGCTAACGCTGCCGCCACTGGCGTCTGTGTCCGCTATCACGCTAAATAAAAAAAAACTTTGTGAATAAAAAAACTTCAAGGACACAAAGAGATTTGGACTCGTGTGCTTTGGGTGCCAGACAAGTATTCTGCCATAGAATCAAGCCGCTGCTTCCACATTCGTTGCAAACTAGCTTTTCGTTGCCTTGATGACGGGAAAGGGATAACGCTCTTACAGCAAAATAACAATCATGCTTCACTAAATCTCGATTGCATAGCGAGTGCGTCGTTCAATGCTCCAACCTGTCACAAAAGCATCAGGCATAGTAGTTCATCGTCGTCAGCCACAGCGAAAAAAATGGCGCAAAATTACTTGCAAGTCTGTAGCGGGTACCGCGCATTTCCGAAGAATGACGCCGATGCCATAGTTTCTCAAAAACAGTACCTATATAGTGAAAAATCTGGCTGTAGTGAGCAACTGGATGCAAGGGAATTCCGGGATGTGTGAGCTTAGAACTCGACTCGGATTTGTATGCCTCGAAGGGCACAGCCGGATTGATTGATTGATTGATTGATTGATTGATTGATTGATTTATAATTGATTGATTGGTATGTGAGGTTAACTTCCCACAACCACCATATGATTATGAGAGACGCCGTAGTGGAGGGCTCCGGAAATTTCGACCACCTGGGGTTATTTAACGTGCACCCGAATCTGAGCACACAGGCCTACAACACTTCCGCCTCCATCGGAAATGCAGCCACCACAGCCTGGAGGGCACTGCCGGATACATCCATACTTGAAAATGCTATCACTAGATGGCATTAGTGGTTTTCGTATAGTTGACAATCTAAGGGGATAAATGGCGCTGTTATAGGTTCACAGAGAGACAGATGCTTGGGCTAGTTGGTGATTGGGAATCAACTTATTTGCACACAGCAAGACTACGAGTAGTTACGACGTAACTACAGAAGAAGGGACAAGGACACGAAGAGCGCTGACTTCCACTGAAATTTTATTTCCGAAAACGCTGGAAATATGTACTCGTGGCAGAACAACACCGCGCAATCGTGCAACCTATTGCATCCCAGCAAGATAATCATCATCTCATTATATGGTTACAACGCCACAGCTCAGCACAAGTTCGCAATCTATTGTATGAAAAGCCAGAAACTCGATTTCTTTGTTTTTTTTTTGTGGGGATTGTGGTTGAAGAGTGCAATTCGAAAAGTGCACTGTTGTAGCCAAACACCGTCACCAGCTGACACGAGAGATTATGGAGGCCAATCAAATGCAAATGCTGGGTGATCGATGCGTCAGCATGCCTTCGCTTCCTCTCGCGAAAAAAGAAATCGAGTTTCCGGCTTTGACACAATAGATTGTGAACTTGTGCAGAGCTGTGGCCTTGTAACCATAAAATGAGATGATGATTATCTTGCTGTGATGCAATTGGTTGCGCGATTGCGCGGTGATGTTCTGTCGCGAGTATATATTTCCAGCGTTTTCGTCAATAAAATTTCAGTTGAAGTCAGTGCTCTTTGTGTCCTTGTCTCTTCTTCTGTAGTTACGTCGTAACTACTCATAGTCTTGCGCTATGCAAATATGTTGATTCACAGAGAGGTGCATAGGCAAGGTGGTTTTCAACGAGACAGAATTCACTTCAATGGGAGGCTACGTCATGAGGTGGGTTGGCGACTTGCAGGACGCGTAGTATCTTTTTGGGGGGGCACGCAGGCCCTTCGGGGTCCAGGGTAGCTAGTAATGAGGAAAACAAAAAGGACTCTTTGACAGGTGGTATAGACAGATACGACTCCAAAGTGGCACCAATATCTAAGACACGTAGAGTCCGGGGCAGAAATAGACGTAGCCACGAGGTCCGAGCCAATTCAGGCGTAGAATATATTAAAATGCAGGGTGGTAGGAATAGGCTGAAGTGGGAAGAGATAGAAGAACAGTTAAGGGAGGAGAGGCCGACGGTATATGGTTTCGTAGGAACACATCCTTAGGGACATGGAACAACCACCTAACAATCCAGATTACGCATGGGAATACTGTAATAGAACAGAAAGCAACTGAAAAGGGGGTGGTATTGGGGCATCCAATCATAAAACTACAGACTTGAAAAGGGTCAAGCAGGAGTGCAAGGAACATTCATGGCTAAAAGGGAAAGTGGCAGAGCAAATGACGTTCCTGGGTATTGTATACTTTTGGACAGGGCGAAAGCCAGAGAGAAAAACCAACAAATGATGCAGTGCGTAGAAAACGACATTGACGAACTAGGAAAAAGAGTGCGAGGTAATTTGTTACGAGGCAGTGGGCATGGCTCTGCCGTCATAGACGAATCGATAAAGAAGAAGTGGACTCGCCGCGCGAGATGCTGGCAGCCCTGGGGTGTCACACCTACCTGTAAATATTGCAAATACACTCGTTTCTCTTTTCCGTGTCTTCGTAATCCCCATAACAAATTGGTGGAGGTGCTGGGTTACGAAGTGCCATACAACCGAGCTCCGCAGTGGTCGTCATATCAGAGTTTCCGTGATGGAACACGGGACTGATCCCACAGCCACCTCTTCATCGGCCTCGGCGATGCCTGCACCATCGACGGGAACGCCTCTACTGGCCCCACCCCCACCCAAGTACGTACTGACGCATCCGAAACATCCAGGAACGTTCTGCGGTACGGACGAAGTTGATGTTGACGACTGGATAGCCGACTATGAACATACCAGTGCGCTCAACCGGTATGACCCGACTCTCACGCTGGCCAACGTGCTGTTTTACCTGAAAGGCACGGCCAAAGTCTGGTATGAGAACCATGTGGAGGAGATCGGCGGTTGGGACACCTTCAAGGAGGAGCTTCGTGACTATTTGGGAAGCCCATTGGTCGAAATGCGGTTGCAAAAAAGGAGTTGCCTATACGTGCTCACACGTCCACAGAGCCGTATATCTCGTGTATACAGGACGTGCTGGCTCTATGTCGTAAAGTCGACAACGACATGTCGGAGTCTGATAAGGTTGGCCGTGTCCTCAAGGAAATAGCGGATGACGCATTCAACCTGCTAATGTGCCGGAACTGTGCGACTGTCGATGAAATTATTCAGAAATGCCGGTGTTTTGAACTGCCCAAAAGCAGGCGTATTTCAACATCATTCACTCGACTGCCGAACACCACTGTGACGTCCTCCTGCGAAGATGGACTGACCTCTCATCGGCAGTCTTCACCGGCTTCTGAAATTACGCGAATCGTCCAGCGGTAAATCGAAGCAATTACACCTGTTCTTCCCACCAACAGCCATGTCGATTCGCAAGTACCTCAGGTTTGCTTGGTACAGTCGATTGTGGGGGAAGAACACAGCAATTTGGGCTTCGATGTCTGCGCCGTTGCTCAGCCTCGACCAATTAGCTTACGTTCAAGGTCGCCGCCTCGCCCCAGGTCACCGCCCCAGGAACGGTCTTATCCACGCTCTCGCAATCCCGCCGAACGGCGAACTGCGGATGATCGGCCGATCTGCTTTAACTGCCGCCGCATAGGTCACGTTGCACGGTATTGCCACAATCATTGGTCTTCATCCCTAACCCAGTATAGCACTGCTCGCCGCGCCGACAGTTACCGCCTTTTCCAGCCTCCTGCACCGATCCTCGACAACTACCGCCGCCTTCCACCCTTCGATTCCTACGCCTTCAA